ATTCAACACAATAACTATTGTAGCCCATTGTCCTGCTAGGTGAACTGATTCTTACCTTACTTTTCTCTGCCTCCATGTCCCGAGTTGTAGCAAAGACCCATTTGGGTGGACAGGGCAGCTCCAGAAATCTCTTTACCAGACCCAGACCGAGACCCCGATTGGATCCTGTCACCAGAACGCTGAAAACACAGAAATCAACTGGCTTTGCCATTCTTCTTCAGGACTGCAGCTTCTGCTTCCAACCGGTTCAAATGTGTGTGTCGAATGGCTCTTCTCATTATGGGGAGCAACTTTATAAGGAGCAGACAACACCCACCTTTAGATCTTCCAAGGAACATTATCTATTTATTATCAAATTTGTTTGCTGCCAACTCCCACCACAATTAACTTATTTTAAAAAAACGCCAGATTGCTTGCTACAGCTGAAGGAGCATTCAGGATGGCTGGAAGGCAAGTTGCTGCTCCCTACAATTTGTCTGTGGTTTACTTGCATCCCCAACTGTAATATACTGTACTTTATAGGACAGCCCTATTCCTGAATTCATCACTGGAAAAAAAGGGTAGATGAGCATGCCTTGCCTTACATGTCATTCTTCATGTTAAAGTCTGTCTGAACCAAGACATGGCACATCCACTCTTTTCATGGCCTTACTCTCTTCCACTGGAAAGTGCCACCAAGAAACTGAATTACCTAAGAAGCTATCGGCCCTTCAGAGCAGACCAGACCAGACAAGAAACACAAAGCTAGATTCGGACATTTGCAAGCCAGCTCTCTTAGGTCCTGGAGGAAAAAAAAAAGATTGTAATTTTTCTGTGCATTAAAACTCACAGACAATTAGACAGCTGGATGTGGAAGAGGACAATCTCAAAAGCAAGAGCAAGCAGGAAAAGTATGCAATTTCTCCTTCATTAGACGTGCAATATCTCTGACTGAACGAAACTTAAGAAACCACATTAAGGCTTAAGGCAAGATGTGATAACACTCCATTCAACTTAACCCCAACCATATATTGCTTCCTCCACACTTTCTCCACTCTTGTGCTGAGTCAAAGCTTGTTAAGTGGAAACCTTTACATATGGAGACAGTCTGTCCAGCAAGTGCCATTGCTGAAGACTAAGGGAGCTAATTAAGGAAGGAAGAAGCTCTTTTGTTAATTGTTTGGGTTCAATACAAGTATAAATCTTGATGAAGGGCTTAGCACCAGAGTCCCCACCTCTTTGGAAATATTGGGCACATCTGGAATTCTGCAATCTTATCTTGTAGAATCTGGTCAATTAGAGCCAAAACACCCCTTCAGTGGGAAGTAAATTGAATTACTCACATTTTGCTTTCTAGGAAAACAGTACAAGTAGCAGAGTATTTATGGGATGGAAGTAAAGGGGGCATGCAAGGGTAAAAAAAAAAATCCTAAAGAGGTGTCATGAATTTTATTGATGTGAATTAGATTTAATTATATTTTCTACTCACTGTCTCTCCTCTTGCACTATGCCTTAATTTATTTTACTTGCTACCTTCTTCTGTTTTTTTTTCCTATTCCTCTACCTCGAATGACATTGCTTTTTAGGAAAAAAAAATCTTTTTGGTTGATATAAGAAAAACAAAGTATGCTGTAGAGAAAAAAGGTGTGTTTTTTTGTTGGCTATAAGAAAAAAGAAAGCATGCAATGCTAAAGGGAAAAACACAATTATACAGCCCAAAAGAAGTTAATATATAGTAAATAAAGTCAATACAATTTAAGCAAAGGGAAAAAAGAAAAGGGGAACTCATGTTATTTAAATAGAACAAATGCAATCTGCAGCTTAGGAAGAATATAATTGGTATGTACTGTATGTAGTATGTATGTGGGTCAGAATATTCCTGGGGTGCTCAAAAATGCAAGCCTCAGTTCAACATCTTAACTACTATTTACCGCCTCATCCCTCTGTTAGCTGAGTTTAACTTGGTTTCTTCTCCCTCCAGATCAAGAGATGTAGCAAAGACCCATTTGGGTGGACAAGGCAGCTCCAGAAACCTCTTCACCAGACCCAGACCGATCCCTTGATTGGATCCTGTCACCAGGACGCTGAAAATGCAGAAATCAACTGGCTCTTCCATCTTCTTTAGGACTGCAGCTTCTGCTTCCAACCTGCTCAAATGTTGGTTTCAAATATGTCTTGTCACTAGGGGAGATAACAGTATAATGAACCGGCGACAGCCACCTTTAGTCCTTCTGAAAAACCTTACTAATAAATTTATTTGCTGCCAACTCTCAGCGATTCTGGCTGGCCTCCACAACTAATTTAGTTATTGCAGAAAGCAAAAGGAAGGCAAGCTACTGCCCTACAGGATATGTGCATGATTTACTTGCATCCACCGCTGTAATATACTTTATAGCTGGGGTCCCCAACCCCCAGTCCGTGGACCGGTACCGGGCCGCGGAGTGCCAGCAACCGGGCCGCACAAACAAGCAAAGCCCCATCTGTGGGATGCAGGCAGCATACAAAACCACGCCCCCTCTGGTCTGTGGAAAAACCTCTCTCCATGAAACCGGTCCCTGGTGCCCCAAAGGTTGAGGGCCTCTGTTTTATAGGACTCCTGTTCCTGAATTCATCACTGGTAAAAGGGTGGATATGCAGGCCTTGTCCTACATGTCATACTTCATGTCATGGCCAATCTGAACCCAGAAGTTGTGGCACATCCATTCTTTTCAAGGCCTTCCACTCTTCCACTGGAAAGTGTCACCAAGGAATTGGATTGCCTTAGAAGCTGTCAGCCCTTCCATGTAGTCCAGACTAGAAGCACAAAGCATGTTCTACGTCCTCTGATCTTACTTTTTGCTAGGAAGCATCATTCCACATACCATTCTATACAACCCTTTTCATTGGGTGAAAATAAGATCCTTTTTGCATGGCAGATATCTAATATGCAGATCTTCTTCCTGTCTTCCAAGGTCAGCCCTACATACCACCACACGACTTGACTTTGCTTGAAACATTGAGAAGGGACAAGGGAAGCCCCAGAGGCTGACAGTAGCATCCTTCTGGGATGGGCTCATAGTGATAACTAAAATGCAGATTCCCCTTCCATAGCTTGACCTTGAATGAACAGAGCAAGGCTCACCTCCCACTGCTCATTCTGATTCATCCAGTTGATTACCAGTTTGGTAGGAACATGAATGTTGAGCAGGGAAAGGAAAGGGTCAGCAGCTGAGTAGAAGTCCCATTATCCATTGGGATTTTCTAAACCAGCAGCAAATGGAAGGGAGGCCTTGAAAGTTGAAAATCTTGAAACATGGGAGTCTACTCGCTCCCTTAGTAATGGTTAGTAGATTCCTAGTCAGGGATTTGAGCTGGATCCAGTTAAACAGAGGGATCTAGGAATCCTAGTAGACAATCACTTAAGTATGAGCCAGCAGTGTGGTGCAGCTGCCAAAAAAGCCAATGTAGTCCTAGGTTGCATTAACAGAGGGATAGAATCAAGATCATATGGAGTGCTAATGCCACTTTATAATATCTTGGCAAGACCATGCTTGGAATACTGCATCCAGTTTTGGTCACCACGATGTAAAAAAGATGTTGAGATTCTAGAAAGAGTACAGAGAAGAGCAACAAAGATGATTAGGGGACTGGAGGCTAAAACATATGAAGAATGGTTGCAAGAATTGGTTATGTCTAGTCTAGTGAACAGAAAGACTATTTATAGACGTATATACTGAGAAGGTTAGATAAATAGAAGTATTAATGTAAGAGGAAATTAATCTTATTGTATATAATACAGATTGGGAAACATGGAGAGAGGAGTTGCTCGGACATTACCCCAGAATTGTATCTGAAGAGGGATGAGAGGGAAGAAAGGAGAGGAGAGAGAGAAAAGAGTAAAGGAGGGGAGAAGGAAGTAGGAAGGTTGGAGGAGAGAGTGGTGAAAGAGAAGAGGAGAGGAGAGGAAGAAGAGGGAAGTAGGGAAGAAAGAGAAGGAAGGGAGAAAGAAGGTAGAGAAGAAGGAGTGGGGATGCAGTGAAAGGGGAAATGGGCGAGCAACACCAAAAGTCATGTGTATGTATTTATTTCATTAAAAGTATCTTATATATAAGAATGTAAAAAGAATGTATGTTAATATTTGATAAATATCACAGTATATGTATGGGGGAGAGTTTGGAAAAATAAAAAAAAAGAAAAAAAAAAGAAAAAAGACTAGGGTGATATGATAGCAGTGTTTCAATATTTGAGGGGCTGCCACAAAGAAGAGGGGATCAACCTATTCTCCAAAGCAGCTGAAGGCAGGACAAAAACCAATGGATGGAAACTAATCAAGAAGAGAAGCAACTTAGAAATAAAGAGACATTTCCTGACAGTGAGAACAATTAAACAGTGGAACAGAAGTTGCCTTCAGAAGTTGTGGGTGCTTCAAAACTAGAGGTTTTAAAGAAGAGATTGGACAGCCATTTGTCTGAAATTACATAGGGTCTCCTGCTTGAGCTGGGGGGTGTTAGAAAGAGGAAGTTTTGACTTACAAATATTTTCTGGGGGGAATATGGCAACTCCCATTTATCTAACAGGCTATTAGCTAACAATACCATCTCCCCTTTTCTCTCCCTCTCTTTCTATCTTCTTTTTGAGTAAGATATGGTGTGGCTGTACAAGGAGTTGTTTGGGTATGTGTGTTGAAAAAAATATGTTCTAAAAAAATAGTTGAAATGGATAAACCATGCTCCTGGTTTGAGATATGGGGTTATCTTTATTTCACACATTGACATTGCATAGGTGACCCTAAATATCTATTTTGTAACACTTGTAGAGTCAGGCTTCTCAACCTCCCAAGGCAAAACAGTTGTTATTGGTCCTACATAGTACCATCGCTTTTTTCTTGACAAAATGCTTTTAATAATACACACAGATGCTTGAGATCTTGTCAAGGAAAGAAAACAACAGGATCAGGACTTTCTTGACATTTAGTAGTTTATTGAGTTGCCATCGCCTCTAAGCACATTATGTGCCGATGACATCAGGGTGAGACCTGTGGATCACCAGGGAGGATTACGACCCATCCAATCCAGAAATGTCCCGTTGTCCTCCTCGGAAAGCATGGACAGCACAGTCACGATGCCTTGTGTGCTCTCTTCCACGGTGATTTCCGGCTGCCACAAAGAAGGATTTCATAAGGTTTAAAGAATCACCCAGCCCAGAATCCTCACTTAAGCAGATCAACAGAATCCAGTTGGACTTCTTGATCATAAATGTTCAACTCTAATATAATGATTTGTATTAAACTGGTCAATCAAGTGTGATTTATTACCTTCACCAAGGTATGTGAATGCAGCCTCTATGATCAAGTGATGATCCAATGTATTCCATAAATCCTTAAATTTGGGTTAATCGAATAAATTAAATGAAAGCAGGGCAAGCATACGGTACTTTGCAAGCCAAAAGATTTGTTTTTAATATTTTAAAGCAGAACTCTTATGATTCGTGTCACCACAGGAATGTTCTCCACCTCATGCCATGATGTTTTCCAAAACAGACTTTTTCAAGTTAGCAAATGATCTTTTCCCAATTTTCAATAAACCATCTCTTAGAAACCTGTCAAACATGTGAAACATGCCTTAGATCTTAAGCAGAAATGGGAAGAACTGGATTTTTTTTCTTCACTATATTTTTGTTTTTCTTTCTTTTTCTCTTTTCTTTCTCTTTTTTGCACCTATTTTTCATTTTTTTTAGCGTGTATGATGTCAACGCTGCTAACATCAGATATTCTTGCTTTGACAACATATGGAGATGCAGCTATTTTCCTTCTTATGTTTTACTCTTAGAATTAGAGTTAGAATTAGATGATACTGGGGGAAGGAGGAATGTGCATGGGAGTTTAGTTAGAGTGACATAACAATACTGTAGCTAGGGTGAGAACCAAGGTTTTTTGAAATAAGAGATGATAAGAAATGGCAGTTGAAGAACTGGAGGGAAAGCCGGCATTTCAAACTAATTGGAGAATGTGATTTATGTCTGTTAATTAGAGGAGGGAATTGTGCTTTGATACTATGTGCTTGGGGGAGGGGAAATTCAGATTTTGGCTTTGCCTATGTACATGCCGATGTTATGCTAATCGAATAAAAATTCTTTGATGTAAACAATGCCTCAAAGTTCTTTGAAGAGTTTCATCTGTCAGAACCATGACATTAAGCCACACTATTATTTTTGCATTTGTAATAATTCATAAAAATTACTGTAGGGCACATAGTTTAAATTATTCACCCAGAGTATATGCATATGGACCAGGATCCACGGATAAATGCATTATTTCTTTTCCCAGATTGAAAGACTTACATAGGGGTTGTTACGGGTATTTACCAAACCAGGATGGATGGCTACCGTCAGAATCCCACTGGCTGAATACTCAAGTGACTGGCACTTGGTGAGCATGTTTAAAGCAGCCTGCATAAGAAAAAAGGAAAAAAACTGTAAGGAAAAGGCATGCTTTGGAATAGGAAATGGAGATGAAAGTGGAGACCAATCACTGAATGATAAGATATTGGGCAACACTCTTATCTTCATCCAGGGCTGGAAAGGAGGAGGCGACACACCGCAAGTGGACTATTACACAATTCTGTTATCACACAAAGGAGGAGAGGGAAGAAGGAAGCCAACCATATGCATGGTTCTGGCCAGTAAAGATATATATATATATATATCATGAGCCGAAGTGGCGCAGTGGTTACAATGCACCACTTCTGTGGACTGCCAGCTGACTGCAGTTTGGCAGTTCGATCCTGACCAGCTCAAGGTTGACTCAGCCTTCCATCCTTCCGAGGTCGGTAAAAATGAGGAGCCAGATTGTTGGGGGCAAAGATGCTGTCTCTGTAAACCGCTTAGAGAAGGCTGTAAAGCACTGGGAAGCTGTATATAAATCTTATTGCTATTGCTATATTATATTGAGTGGCATGATGGCCTAGTGGTGAAGATGCTTGCCTCCCACTCGAAAGGTTGAGAATTGAATCCTAGGTAGTGGCAGATGTTTCTCTCCTATGTGCTGTGAACTCGTGTGGTGTCAAGAAAGGCATCCGGCCCGTAAATGTTCACCTCCATTCATTGGCCCCGTCTCTACCCCAAATTAAGGGAGTACAGAGTCATAAGAAGAGAGCTCATTGATTATATTGTATTATATTGTCTAAGAACAGGCACCTAGCTGATCATGGGTTAGTTGGGCATCCCTACAGTTGAATGATGAGTACCAGAAGGCTGGTTCCTACACCTTCAGTCCCAACCAAGTTCATCCAATTCCCCCGTATTGGATTTTCCAGACTGTTGATAGTGCCTGCATGTGAGATCATGGTGTTTTTTGCAAACTACTTCAACAGCAACGATCAGGAGCTCCATCAAAGCCCGTTGAACAATTTCTCTGGGTTGTTAAAACAAAGCCATCTAAATGGCTAATGTCTGAACAACGAATTTTCTCAGCTTGGCATACTTTATATCCCAGATATTCCCACTTTTTTTTCTCACTTTTGTTTTTACCATGAATGAAAACAGTAATCATTCTGTTTTCTAGGCCATCCTTTCTTAATTTCAGTCTTGACACTAGACGTCAATCTGTCTCTCTGTAAATAAAATCCTTTTGAAATGAAGCCCATTTAAAGTTGGGCATAGGTGTGTGTGTGTGTGTGTGTGTGTGTGTGTGTGTATGTAAGACTGTGAGAGAGTACTTGCATGGGAGAACTCTGCACTGGTTGAAAAACCTATGCAACGTGGCTTACAGAAGAACAAAACTGAGCTGCGTTAAACTGTCCTTATTTTCTTGCGTTTTCGAACAATTCCAAATCTCAACGGTCGGTAATAAATTATTCTTTAAGGGACAAGCATGTATGGAAGGAAATCCCAACTATGTGCAGGCAAATCCACACAGAAATCACGTTAGGTACCTTACTGCAGCGGTAGGAAACCACTTGTGCTTTCTCCCAAATAAGCATAACCTCCATTGAGCCAAGAGTACTGGATATATTGATAATAGCCGCCTTGCTGGAGCTCAGCCCTCGCCTTGGACTCTTCCGGGCTGCCTTCTTCAAGAGGGGTAGAAAGGCCTTGCAAGGGAGAAGAAGAAAAGAGAGAAGGGGCTGAGGTTGGCTCTGTGAAAGCAAGCTGTGCTTCATAAGCTGGAGCCAGGTAGCCAAAGCAAGCGTCTTTATCAGCTTACGCCGATCTCCAAGGGAATCCTCACGCAGTCAACATACCCAGGTAGATCGCTTAAAGCTTTCTACAGGGTGCCTTCAAGATGTTTCTAAAGCCCCAACTGAGGCAAAGCGTGAATTTCTGGAACGCGTTCAAGTAGAAAGAGTGCAAAGGTGTGGACAACTTGACTTTCCTTTTACACCTCCCCCAGCAAATTCTTTGCAGGTTTTGGAATACTGAGACCCAGGAGGCTGAAATCAGACTGTGAAGTGCCAGCATTTGGACACACCATTTTTTTCTTTGTATATCTGCTTATAGTTTTGTGTTTCTCTGTGTGTGTGTGTGAGAGAGAGGGAGTGGAGGGAGGGTGAGAGAGAGAGAGACAGAGAGAGAGAGGGAGGGAGGGAGGGAGACAGAGAGACAGAGAGGGGGGAGGGAGGGCAAGAGAGAGAGACAGAGAGAGAGGGAGGGAGGGAGAGACAGAGAGGGAGGGAGGGCGGGAGAGACAGAGAGAGAGGGAGAGAGAGAGAGAGAGAGAGAGAGAGAGAGAGAG